TTTGGATATGTTCAGCTATGTTGACATTGTGGCCAAAACCTGCAAAAGCGATAGGCCCCTTCAAAAGCGATAACCTTTCTGAATCATGTCCTTTGCTTGACAGTATGTTTTGGCAGACGCTCACATGATTATTCATCCATTTCGCTTTAGTTTGTATTGCTTTTGACTAGGGTCCAGTGATTGTGAAGACCCATCGGCCTAGCAAACCTCTCAGTAGACAAGACAGGACCCGCTCAACTGGTCCAAGTTGCGTGACCTGTTGTTTTCAGTGCGAACATGGCCACAGTCACTACACACTACACACCTTCAGAGTCAGCGCACCCACGACAGGAGGTTTTGTCATCGGACCGAACGATCGCAGGCCAAAGCAGCTCCCAGCTTTGGTCCGGCCAGAGGCGTAGATGACCTGAATGATTTTGCCGTTTCAGTAGTGATGCCCTTTGTTCCTAGTGACTTCTTGTCTCTACTTGGCTGGATTGACTCGATTGACTTGAATGAGTACGACTTCGACTTGTGTTTAAGATTCGACACGCTTTAGCGTGATGGTCCAGCTCAAGGGGCGTCTGGTAGGTTTTGACAGTGAAAGTCTGTGGGTAGCTCAAACTATGCTCCAGAATTCAATCTGGAATAGATCGGATCTTAGGGAGATAAAACATGGAAATCCTTTGAGTCGGAAAGCTGGAGGGCCGAGAGGGCCGGCAGATCTGCATGGTTCCACAATCTCATCAGGTGAAGCCCCTGTCCGAGAAGGGCCTCAAAGAGCAGCTGCGAGAGGCACGATTGGCTTGCGTTCGAGGTCCGCAAGCCGCATTTGACATGCGTTTCCTCTCACATGAGAACCACAGGACCTTTGCTTTGGCAAAGTCCTCTACCGATCGGAAGACCTGAAAGTGAAGGATGTGAAGGGCTTTCCCCGAACGCCTGGGAGTTGGAGTTTGTGCAGTCCAGGCCTCACGGAAGCTGCGAAAGAGACCCTGGCAGCCACGCGACTCGCGGCCCAGATTGGAGGCACACATTCGAGAGTGGGGCTTGACAGATGATCGATTGGGAGCATGATCAGAATGTACTAGAATGTATCACACTTTTGGAAACCACCAAGAACCTAATTAAACGGTTTCCATTGTGGTTTTGATGAAGCAAGGCAGAACACTTTCCAACAAAAGGCTTTTGGAAGGCCTGAGACCTATCAAAGAATACATGAACAAGTGGAAGAGTTCATTTGCACGATGCAGATTTATGTGGAGTAGACGAAAGGAAATGGACCCAATCACTCGAATGGATCGCAATGGTATGTTGCAACATGTAGAGCAAACCTTCTTCATTCGCAAAGGTAGGAGCCTTTGGTGTCGGAGCATAGAGGTCTTGCAGCATTTGGGGACCGCATGTTTCCTTTCTCTTTCCCGACGCAGTGGTTTTCCGACCCTTTTTCCAAGTCATCAAGACATTTGGACATGGTTGCTCTGGCAGGCGGCCAACGTGAAGATTACCAGTCCCAGTGAGCAGCTCAGGGGGTACAATTGGGTGGTGGAGTGAAATGATTCGATGGTGGAGTGATGTGACCTTAACAAGAAGCTAGGAATGAAGCTCCTGCCATTACTACTAGTAGCTAGAAACTAATTAGTATCAAGGTGCCCTACCTACTAGTGCCCCATTGGTGTTCCGGGAGCGAGCTCGATGACTGTGACCAGGGGACCCTCCATTCCATTCGGTGACTGTGACCAGCAGTGCTCGTTTCGGCGCTTGTGCTCGGGCTCTCAGGGGAGTTCAATCCGGTGCTTGTGCTCAATGAGCCCTTTCCACATCCCTGGGACAGAGGAAGGCATGGGGCTGGCTTGCAGGGCTCAAGAGTTGCAGTGGAAAAGCTGAAGTGAGGAGGTGAGGATGTACGTTCTAGTATTAGTTTCTCTATGTTGTTCAGAAAAAACAACACATCACGCGGAAGACGCCCGATTGACCCCGTCCAAGACCCGTCCATGAGGGTCCGCGGGTTCAGTATCAAGTTGGCTTCTGGATGTTCTTCGTTTCCTGATGCCTTCTTGGAAAGTCGATGAAAGAGCAAGCACGCTACTAGGGGCTCCTGGCCTTACTACTAGGAGCAAGAAGCTACTGGGGGCTCCTGGCCTTACTACTAGGAGCAAAGGACGCTACCAGTAACAAGAAGCTACTAGGGGAGGTCTTGCATGGACCGCACTGCAGATGCTCTGACGCACTGTCCGTGGCTGTGCAGGGTGGACGCACCGCGGCGGCGATATCCCTTATGGGGCCTGGGCAGGTACGTGACGCAGAAACAGGACGTGCAACATCAACGTCACCTCTGCAGAAGTAGAAAAGCACAGAACAACTGCGCCCTTCCAGTGGATTCAACAGGGAATTGTTTTCCTTCGTTTCGTCCACAGAATGTGTATTTGCCAGGCAGTATAGTTCAAATTTGGGCGCTTTGATTGGCCAGTGTGTGGCAGGTATGCACATGCAGAGTTGCAGGAGAAGCCGCCGTGGAAGGACCTGGCCAAGTGGGGTGGTTTTTATTTTGATGAATGAGAATGGTAGCACAAACAGTGATGTCCCAGACTCTTTTTGGTATTCGCGATCATTTTTTGCTGAACTGAATCTGCCCTGAGATCCCTTAGATCAAAATGAACAGCATTCTGCACTTGCAACTTAGTGGAAATTGGTGCCTGAGCTGCTGGAGGTTGTTCAAATGCCTTTCAACTCTCCTTTCCACAAAAATTCAGAATATACGCGCCGAATTCACCAGTGACTTGCAAACTTTATCAACGACTTCCCCAACCCCAAACCCTTTGCCCAGCACGAAAACAAACCACACACTTTCCAAGACCTGGACTTAACTACAATGCTTTGTCCTGCAATGAACAACAATGAACCAACCCTTTTCCAGGCTTTCCTCCCTCACGAGATGTTTCAGGACCCCAGGCCACCCCAAGCCTTGGGTTGGCCAGAGCGGATGAGGCCGTGCCGTGCCTATGAACGGGGCGCTCCGGACGCATCGCTACGAACGGAGCAAGAAGCTACGAACGTAACAAGGGCATCGCTACGTGGAACATCGACAGTTGTTCTTTTTTGGAGTCGAAACAAGGGGCAAGGACGCTACGAACTCCTGGCCTTACTACTAGGAGCGGTCGGACGCTACTAATTAAAAGGGGCTCCTGGCCGCACTGCGAACGGACCGGAGCTACTAGTAACAAGTGCCTCGCTAGTAGTGACAGGTGCCTTACTAGTAGTAACAAATTAGAATTAAAATAGAAGAGATCTGACCGCACCACAGCGGTTTCACCGACGTGTCGGTGCCGACGTCGTGGTTGCCTTCAGGCGGAAGCGGTGAGAGATGGCTCAGACCCGATGGACCCGGTGGACGCAGATTGAAAGCCAACGGTCCCAACGTTGGACCTGTCATAGAACTGCTTGTCATAGACCTGTCATGCGAGATCTAGTACCAATGGCAGTGGATGGCAGTGGTAAGCTAACGAGCTCAGTTGCCCCTCCCTGTCAACAAGGACCTCAGATACAACTGCTTATATACCACCTTTTCGATCCGAGAATGCCAGCATTCAAAGTCAGAGTTGGATTGTGAGCACTGACAGCGCTGACGAGAGTTAGCTAATGTTTGGGGGCAGCACAAAAGTGCTTTGCTCCCTCAGAAGGCCTTTCAGGCCTGGGAACCCTCAAAGGGTTGAGCTAGGCTTCCATCTTAGAGCCCAGCGTGGGTTGAAAAGAACCAGCGCTTGAGTTGGGGTCGTTGCTGGGACCTCGTTGGCCTTTTGGACATATGACACAGCTACTATCCATGATTGTTACACTCTAGAGACTTTGCAATAATGCCTTGAAAGGGTTTCATGGCTTTAATTAGGTCTTCTGCTTGCAAGAGTGCTTTCCTTTTGTAAAGAATGCCTTTAGAACACCCTTAGTAGCTTGGCTTTGAGGTCTTTGTTATTTTTGTGACTTCCCATTTAGCAACATGTAGAACCAGAACATGCCCAATCTGAGGACAGGAGGTGTTCACATGATACATTTATTGACTGTATGTTCCGATTAAAGCAAGAACACTATCAGATTCCATGTTCTTTCTCCTTTGTGTTTGTGACTCTCCAACACTGGCCCGCCCAGCTATATCAACCTCCTACCACTAGTAGGTTGGAGGCTAGTATTGTAGGTTAGTCTCTTTCTCCTACCGCAGCTTACCAGTCAACGTTTGCGCTCGGGCGCCGCGGCAGAAGACCGAGAGCCTGCCGTGCTGAACGGGCGGAAGGTCATGGCCGCTGCGGAGGGTCGTGTGAGGCGTGTCCAACGTGTCCGGTGGAAGAACTTTGGAAGAGAGGAGCATCCTTGCCACTAGTAGCGATGCCAGGAGCTACTAGTAGCATCCTTGCCACTAGTAGCGATGCCAGGAGCTACTAGTAGCGTCCTTGCCACTAGT